TGCTTGAATCTTGATTGCTTCTCCTGCTGGAATTTCCGAGTTGGACGGGGGAAATTGCTACCATAGTGGGAAACAAGGTTCCTGGGTGGGTTTTGTAGGTGAGAGGGAGTATGGGGGAAATTTTACTCACTGCGTTTGGTGGAGGTGAGGGTACGGCCGAGCAATTCAACGAGGTCTTTGACACTGCGAGGGAGCTTGAGGTTGCGGAGTCCTTCGGTAGCATGTTCAGCCGCTTTAATTGATCGTTCAAATTCCTCAGCCGTAATCTGCTGGATTTCATTGTCGAGGAGGGGTTCCGCCGGAACAAGGGGAGGAGGTGGTCCAGGGGCGTTTTTTCTAACAGAGAACTCTTCAAACTTTGGTTCTTGGGACGGGAAGTTTGCTTCAATGTCCTGTTGTGCTGTGGGTGAAGGTCAGTAATGGTATTCAAGGAAAGATGTCTGAATATAGGTGAACATACTGGGAGGAGGAGTGGAGGCCTGTGGCTTTGGTCCTGAAGAGGGATCGGTGGATTGTAGTGCACCGGGTGAAGCAGTGGGCATAGAAGGCTGGTCGATGTTCATGGTGATGATGAGGGTTGAAGTGCAATCAGGTGAGCGGATGAAAATGTTGCACAATATCAAGTGGACCAGTGGGAATCTGGAATGCGAGACAGGGAAAAGGAGGGGAAGGGAGGTCTTATATATTCCTGGAGAATGGTTTTCTAGAATAACCCCATTGTGTGAAAATTTTCAACCACCCCATTGTCCACCCACAATCCACCTTTGTGATGACATCACCTGAGATATTGGCTATGTTTTCCAAAACTCTTGTAAATCTTAGCTCACTGATGAGCCAACAATTGGTCAATCATGAAATAAGCGGATTATGCTATCAGTATTCATGCTTTCTACAAAGTGGACCAAACATCTACCATTGATCAGATGATGTGCTAAGCTAGAATTTACTGATAAGGGGGGTGATCCTGAAAGAAAAACCAGCAATGGAGTTCCCATGCAACGAAATGATTAAGCAGATGTGTGAATATAATCATCAGGATTCGTATGTTGTAGTACGCATGTACTGTGTAAGTATCATAAGGGAACTAGATCAGTAGTCCAGACAAATACTGTCTGAATGTCACCTCAATGTACGCGCGTGCATTTGGGTGACATTGGGACCGAGTTCAGACCAACTAGCGGTAAACTTCTGGCCCCCTACATGTGTCTTGACTCTGGTTATCCAATCCCCCTCTAGTGCAAGTCTGGTGTACATTGTCACCATACCGTACGCGCGTACGTTGAGGTGACATCTCAATCTCAAAAAATTTGGGCCTTATTGGTTCGACACTACGAAACATTTATAAGGACCACATCAACACAAATCCTTTTCAGAATCGATCCTTCTAATTCATAACGGTTCGCGGAAGTCTACACATGTGTAAGTCTATGACACCCACAGGAAGGGGAAAACTAAATCTAACTAATCAACATTCATGGTCTCTCCGGTGGTTGTGCGTGGACCCTCCTGAGATGCTTCACCCTGCCCACCAGTCAGAGACGTCTCGTCCAATCTTCGCTTATTGTTGTTCTGAGTTGAGCTTCCCGTTGGAGCATTTGTGCCAGTTGTTATGGTTGTTCCAAGACAGTGCTTTTCGAGGTTCTTAGCAATGTCACCTAGGCCTATCGTGGACGCTTGAGAGATGGTTTGCTGCTCATAAGGACTCAATTTCGCCCACCACGCATCTTCATAGCAATCGCGAGGCAAACCCCTGGGGACCCCCCTAATCCCGGTAAAAGTCTTGAAGAGTCTTTGAGAGCGACCGTAGACCAACAAGTTGTTTTTGATTGTTTGGTGATGAGTTGCCTGGGCCTGCACCATTTTATCAAAACAGTGCAAGATCGAAGTTAGAGAACCGCTACGCCAATTTGGGCTCAACGTGACGGGCAACGAATCGTTTGGGCCATCTTCAACATCGGAACCGCAGTCCTTGTCTTCGCAGATGTGCGCCAGATTGATATTTCCTCTCAAGACTTTTCCCGCCATTGCGCACCTGTTTTCCCTTATCTTTAACATGTTTCAAAAATGTATTCTGAATCAGTAGCAATAAACAAAATACTCATTGAAGAATTTTCACACCTTCTTTCTCCATCTTTCGTACTGTGCCTTGGTAGTTCGCCCCTTCTTCATTTGATCGTAAGCTTCGCTGCCCATGTTTGTGGCATCTCGAATTTCCCCGCTTTTTGTGTGGACCCATCGTAGTATTATTGCCGATGCTTGGCAAGCCTGTTTGTCAGTGATTGGTGTGGATCGGCGGAGCCATTCGACGGCCCGGCTTCCCAGGACCTCAACAACAGCAGAATTCCACGGCGATTCAGAGATATGACTAACATCCCAGTCAAAAGTGAGCCGTGAGATTCCCGCCAATGCGAGTGATCTCTCAACATCCCCCTTTGTCTGAGCACTGACTGGTTGTCCCTTGTGAGGACCAATTTGAACAACAGGAGTGAACGGAGGCATCTTGATGTTCTTCCTGATTTCTTTTTCAGCCTGAGAGACACAAAATTCTACCTCCGCAGGCGCCTTTCCCTGGAGCTTCTCACGTAATCGACTGAGATTTTGCTTGATTGACTCAGCCCTTCTTTCCACCCAGTAAAGTGCCTTGAGTTCGTCAGGTGTTGGAGCCGATGGATAATCTTGAGGTCGTTTTGGATTGCCCAGAAAGAATTTGATGAAGCTTTGGATACCCCGAGAGTACTTGTCGCAATGTTCGGCCAGGACCCGTTTCCCAGCAATTCCCCTAACTCTCTTCTCAGCTCGTCTGCTTCCCTCGTTCGCTTCCATCTTTTCCCTCTCCCGCCTTGCATTTTCAACCACAAACTTTGGGTCCAGTCGAGATGTTTCGGGGATAGTGCTTGGTTCTGTCTGCGCACCACCTTCTACACCTTCACAAATTCGTCAGAACACAGATTTGAAATAGACTGATTATCCACTAACCTCCCATACCAGTTTCCATATGAGCAGAAGATTCATTGGCCGGAACAAAGCAATCAACAATAGCCGAAATCCAAGCATCTTCCGGATCTACCCCAGACGGAGCAGCATCATCTGAAGTGTCTCCTGGACCACCACCGGGAGCCATGTCACACCAAAAGTATATAATAGATTATTTATACGTGTGAAAATAGGGTTTTTAGAGTTCAGGCAAAGGTTTATAAGACAGACAGACACCGTTGTGCTTTAAAATGTGATAAAATTTGACCGGAGCAGGAGAGACAGATGATTTCGGGTAAAAACCAACAAAGTAAAGCTGAATTGATTGGCAAAGGAAGCCTAAGTTGAGGGATTGATTGCGAGTAACTGAGGGCAAAAGTCTCTGTCCTGGGTCAATAATGACTGTCTATGTGACGAGTAAGATAAAGCATACACCATGCAGACACTGGCAAAAATCACAAGAAACATCTTGCTCGTGGTAGAATCTCAATGGTCCCCCAATCCCTCCCACCCCTAAAAAATTTGAAACTACCAATGTCAGCCAAACAAGTACACACACTGACTTTATATTGTGACTTACAGCAGTTCCTAATCCCACTGCGCTAATTGTTTCCATTGGGAATCCAAAGGTTGAGGCAGGATTTACCAGAATGGCAACGTGACCAATAATCCTTTCACCATCAATCACCTCGGCAACTTCATGATTGGTCTGGACCAAACGACAGTTCAGATCGGGGTAGTCCCTGTATGGATCTTCATCCCTTACTACTTCCTTAAATGGTTTGACTACAAACCAAGTTTTCCCAGGTGTTTGGTGTGATCGGAATATTTGCTCCACGTGCCCAAACCTCTGATCCTTCCCTAGGTAGAACTCGACTGAACCATTCCCCTGGTGCCGATCGGCGGTGGTGAACATCTTCCCACCAACCTTGCAGTATTGAACCATTTCCACTACCGGGCCAAGTTCTGGAACTCCTAAACTTGCACCCAGCTTCCCCCTTGTACCATCCTTACCAGCCACTGCCCTTTTCCACTGTTTCATCAAGGGTTGTGTCAACATCTGAGATTTGGACATGTTTTCATCGTCCGGCCTTTCTGGTGACGTGTGATCATGTTTGGAGGTATGGTCTTTGAGAATTGCCTGAAACCTCGAGTTGATGTGCCATTCCTTCATCAGTGTCTTTGGTATCTCATCTGCAAATAACATGACACACAAATTCAGTTATGGCATGAGCATATGAATGGAAGAAACTTCCACTTACTTATGTGGTGATTGGTCGGAAGCTTTTGCAACATCCCATTCACTCTTTCCTGTGCCCAGGCTGCTGTGGATCGAGGCGGACCAAAGCGACGGATATTGTCCGAGTAATGTTGTGTCACGTGAATATTTGGTGTGCTTGCTAGTGCTGGCCAGCCTTTCTGCAAGACTTGTCGGTATTCAAAAATCAGCTGATCCAGCTCATCAAGATCTTTGATTTGAATTTTGGGGAGAGTTAGGAAGTGGGCAATCTTGCACAATAAGGTGGTTGATTCCAAGAGTGAGGATATTCTCTGTTTGCTCTCTTCAGTCGCTGATTCCTTTTGTGATTTAGTCCACAAGGGAATCAATGCAATTGGATAATAAACCTTGTACAATATTAACCATTCAGCTGCCTTCAAAGACCCATGGCTTGCCAAACCCAAGTTACGTGGGACACGATCAATCCATGACGGCACAATGGTGTGCAAAATTGTCCTCCGCACTATGTTCAGTTCTTCGGGCAGGATTTTAGGTTGGCCCATATCTGTAATTGGGGAGTCAGCATCTCGGCGTGTTCGGTGTTGGGCCCTAGTAGCAGTGTGATCACTTCCGCAATCGTCATCGGAGTCAGTGGTGACCTCCTCGTTCAAATCACACGCTACCCTTTTTCGGAGTCTTAGCTGATACGAATGTGTGGTTGAAGCATCCGAATTCCCCTTGGATCCGGAGCATGATCTGTTTCCTCTGTCTGTTTGGTCCTCCTCTCCTCCGATGTTTGCTGTTGTACGTCTCCGCTTGCTTGGATTTTCTTCTTCAGCGGCCTCAAATTTCCGCTTTGCCTTGGTCTTGGGGCCAGGTTGATTGTCAAATGGATGCTCAGTGTATGACAAGTCATTCTGCCATTCCGTGTCCTTCTCTTGCATATCCTTGAGTTTGGATCCGGCTGATGGCAAGGACAGGAACCGCATTGTGTGATCTTTCAAGTCACCCAAAATCAGTGCATGCATCAATTCAATTGAACAAAATTCAATTGGCTGCCAGTAAGGGAGTTCATTAAGTACACTCCATCTTGCACCGTGTTCTTTGACATACTTCTTCCTTTCAGTCGCATTTTGAAGTTCGAGCCAAGCATCAGCGTGTTTCCGGTGTTCCTCATTTTTCCTTAGGGGAAACTTGGACTTATCGATCTCTTCAAGGTCATGTTTGCTCAACATACAAAAAGAGCAAAATCTAGTTGACGAATGGCTACCAAAACCTGCAGCCTTCCGGAGGGCTGGAAGATCGGCAATAAGGGGGAAGATTGCAGCTCGGATGATCCTACCTTGGGGATGAGATGCGGTTGACTCAAAGAAGATTCCAGTCCAGAGATCCTTCAATTCATTCACCAATGGACGTAATAGGTGGTTGACCTCTTCTAGACTTGGTTCCTTTGGTCCCGGGATAATTCCAAAGAGAAATATGTTCTCCACCTTGTATCGATCTTCCGGAGGAAGGTTCAGGCAGATGAGGATGACTGCTCCAATTGAATTGTGCTTCCCAAGATTTGATGTCCCCTCGGCATTAAACCAATCGAGATACAGACTGAAGACAAGGTTTCCGCTCTTCTCGGTGTAGATCCCACTTCCATCATCCAAGTTGGGAAATTCCTGCCAAACACGTCCATGCCACACATCCTCCATGTCTTGAAGCGGATCCCAACTAGCCGCTGAAAGACTTGAGTCAAGAAGAGATTCAAATGAAGGTCGAGAGAGCTGCGCTTTTAGCCAGGACTTCATAGTTACGTATGAATAAGTGCGAATCGGTTTTGATTTATGTTGTTTGTCCAATTCAAGGAGATCTTGGTCGCATGTGGGCTCAATTGCTTGTGATTTGGCCCACTTGCAGTAACCCTGGTATTGCGATAAGAAACTCTGAGTACACTTGGCCGGAGGGTCTGTGTCACTGTTGCTTAGAGGATACAGTGCAAAGCACTTTTTGCAACATATCTGTGTTGTAATTTCTGGATTGAGGCCCAGACGATGGAAAACGGCATCCCGGGTCTTGGGGATTTGTTGGATCAGATCCGCTGTATGTATGACTCTTCCTTTAGAGCTCCAGAGCTTTCCTAAGAATGAGACATTTTCTCTTGCTGCCTTGAGGAAAGATACCGCCCCCGCCTTGCTCAATTTGTTTTTCAAAACAGATTCAGCCATTTGAATCATGACCTGTTTGGAAAAATCCTCCTCGAAAAGGGGCAGCTTGCTGTTATCTGTTACACATGGATTTGAAGTCGATGCCGTGGGAATTACCTAACCCTGGCTTATATCAGCCATCAAAAATATCATTCTTAAGACACACTTTTTTCTGGATTACAACTCACACTTGGTTCGCCAGATACCACCGAGTTGCTTTCCAAACGCTGGGCCTCTTGCTTCTGCTGGTGCATGGTGACTTGCTTCTGATGCTGCAGGAATACCTTCTTTGACAAAACCCTCCCAGAGAAAACTCCTCCTCCTTCTTCTTCATGTTGGGTGGTATTGCACCCATGAAGTTCACAGTGACAAACATGCATTGGTCGGTTGGGCATTGTGCGTAGGATCAGAGGCGGAGTTTGGCTGGTTGAAAGGTTTTCTTCTTCTAGTACAAAGAAATCCGATCTTCAAACACTGTTATTTCTGAAAGCGTGAGGGATTTAGACACACAAAAACTCGCTGAAGAGACTGGGAAACTGCTACTGGTCTCTTCTGATGTTGGGTTCATATGTAAACATAGAAATATCACCTATCGTCGTTCGGAACAAGGCAACCTGTGGTACAACTTCTTACAATCTGATTACGTGTAATTCATGTCATGATTCATGCAGTGATCAAAATTACATGTGGTTCGGAGCAAACCAAACAAGATGTATTGATTGGCGTGTCATCCAAACAGCCCTGCATTGCTGAGTACCTCATGACTGACCAGTTCAATATCTTGATGCCCGTACTAACAACCTGAAAGTCGTACGTCAAGTTGAATAATAGATACTGTTCAAAAAATAATTCACATCACGCTCAACCAGAGCAACATTGACCTCACTTCTACCAGGCTTTTCTGTTATTTGGAGTGTGTTCCAACATAAGAGGATCACATTTTCCACTCTCCCATCTTTCCCAACCATCTGCCTCCAAAAGTTTATTCTATCGGCCAGAAAAATTCCATACTAGTTATACATAACCTAAAGATCATGTCTCAAATCCAAGGTCCTTTGGATGTTCGTATTACATTAGCTCCTATCCAAATTATGTGGCTCAAAGACCAACAGTCCATGATTAACGATATATTAAAGAAGTATGAGCCGGCACCTGAAGATCAACCATCCCCCTTATCCCACATAGACGAATACGAACAAGACCGTAGAGCCTGGGATTGGCATGTTCTTATTAGTGGTAGAGTGACTGCGGCCGCGAGAGACATGTCTATTCCCGAATGGGCTATCCCAAATGTGAAGGCTATTTGGGATGCTCGAAGGAACATTTATGGAAAAGGTATGCCTGCTTTGATTTGGGCAAATCAACCATCTTGATTTTTGCTGACTTTGCCTTTAACCAGGACCACTTCTGTTCACTGCCCCGGAGGCCATCCCTGGCCAACAAACCGGCGCTAATTAGAGCAGCACATGGAATACGCTAACTTCTTGGTGGTCGATAGTGAGTTACAGAACTACATGACTTGTTCCACCGATGAATTACTGACCCTGCCCCTTGTTCCGATCAGTTTTTGGATTTGAAAAGCCTCAGAATGTTTTCTTGGATCATGCCTCTCAGCCTTTGAAAAGTGTTCCCTTGTGTGCCGTGAACCTTGTTTCCTTTTGTGATACATCCAAAAGCTATTTGCATCTCCATATTCTCGCATCCATTCACAGTTTGCTACTTCCTCCTTTACACATC